ACCCCCATAGTTGCATCACTGCCTACAGCTAGCTATCCAATTTCAGAATAGCTGGAGGCCGTATGTCATACTGGTCACAGGCCCTGGGTCACACCATGAAGACCACATGCCTTAGCGGCCACATACCACGTAGGTTCCATGGGATCTACCACTACTGAATTTATACCTTGTGTGCCATGGACCAGTGTGACCCCACATATTCCAGTGAAAACATTTACCTATTCCAGTCAGTGGGAGCAGAGAAGAAAGGATGCCATGGCTTCTGGGCTTCCTGATGGGAAGTTTGTAGGGGTGAGTATTTGTGGAAAAGGAAATCTAAGGGTATAAGGGAGTCTAAGGACACTGGAATACCATGAAGTGCCAGTGACTCCAGTTACAAGCAGAAATTCAAGTACCAGTGAAAGCAACAAACCTGAGGTAGAGACCAGAAAACCATGAATAAATATGCATGTCTTATTGAAGGAGAAGGGGGAATCCAGCATGATGGGCATGGCGAGCAGTCTCAAACAGAATGTGGGACAGACGTGGCCCACCTGCTCCTACACACAAGACAATTCTAACATGTGGGAATGCCAATTATCCAATCTCATTTAGTTAGCAAAAGCCTATCCCCTCACATGTTCCTTCCAGTGCCCTGAAGGCAAAATGCCTTCCTTATGTAGCACATTGGTGTGGGTGAGCACAGGTGAGTTCAGACCAAGTCTCCAGAAACAGGCAAGGCCAGCCTTTGGATAATGACAGCCCACTTCCCATTTAGAGAGGCTTTCTGGACATGTTAGGTATATATTCAGTGTTAAGATTTTGCGTGACCTTTGGGCAGGAAGCTTCAGTTTGGATCAAACTCCTCATTCATGCTTGCAGTAACAGCCCTGTGTCCTGCAGGAAAAGAACAAAAAATGCCCCCTGTCCTTCAGTGATAAAGCAAAGTACTTACATCTACAAAGGCTATCCTTAGGACAAGGTCCTTTACCCATCCTCCTAATGTCTTCAGTGAGGGGTATGCTGCATTGGCCCAAAGTGTAGGAACTTGGTTGTTGAGAAAGCTGTTGTATACTTTCTCCATCTCTTCTGACATCACCACAAAACCAGCAATAGCTTTGTTGAGAGTGTTTAAAGAGACCTAACAATTAAAAAAATTATATCACTTATAATTAGGGTAAACCACATATGACTTCATTAAAATTGTACTTTTGTAATGGCTGTTATGGGAGCTCTAGGTCTCTCAGATTGCATAAAAAAATACTCAGCATTTCCAGCACTGGGATTTTTGCATGTGGGCGGCAGGAATATGATGATAAACGGCAGAACCAACCTGGCTATGAATAAAGTGCCACTGAGTTAAAATCTGCCCTGCATGGGAAGCTAAGTGCTTGATCCTGCATAGCACTGAGAGTACATACAGAAGTAGAGCTTCTGGGTCTAAATCAGGGTAATTCACAGAAATCACCATAAGTTAGACCAATCCTCCTGACCCAACAGATGTTAATTGTTAGAGCGAGGGTGCCAATTTGGACTTGATCCAGGGAGAGAAACTCTATCTTTCCCTGGCTCTTCCTCTGCCTTCTTCTTCCCCTGTCTCTTCCCTTGGCTCCACCTTCACTCTCACAGCTTGTTGTTGACTCTGGATGGGAGAAAGCACAAGAGGGAGGTTGTTATGGGGTCTTCTCAGCCCTGCTGGAGGTGGGGAGGGGGTAGATTGGAACCCGCCCCCAGATAAGGGGCTCCAATACATCACTGGGGTCACCTGATCACAGTTGTCTTTCTGCCTAAGTGCAGGGGGGCTGGACCCGATGATCTTGCAAGGTCCCTTCCAGCCCCTTACAATCTATGAAACCTGGCCCCCAACTCCAGTGGGGCTGAGAAAACCCCAGAAGTGACCCCCCTCCCCTGCTTTTCCCCCCTCCCATCCAGAGACAGCAGCTCAGGCCAGGCTGCTGTTGCAGCTGGAGTAGACAGAAATTAAATGAAGTCACTCCACTTAGAAGTGTTTTCATTTGAACCCTCATACAATGAGGAGTAATTTGCTGTGCAGTCAGAGCAGTCTGCAGCCATGCTCTTCTGTTTGGGCATGGCTTTAGAGCACTTTCAAGGGGCTGAACATGTGACAAATGCCATTTCTGCCTGTGCCCTGAATGTCTCAAATACCTGCAAGGACCAGCTATTAAAAGACCAGGCAGTCTTCTAACTAGAGCTTATGATTTTCCTCCTCATCCCTGAATGTGAAGCTCGGACTCTTAATTTTCTCAGGGAGGCGGGGAAAAATTACTGAGCTTACAGAACTGCAAGAGGCTGGAAAGTGGGGTCGAAAAAAGGACAACAGTATCTTTTCTCTTGCTAAATTCTTCTCCTGTGTCTGCTCTGGGATAGAGAGAGAAGTGCTTTAAACAGTTGGAATGTTTTAAAATAAAGTTAGGCAAAAACAGAAGGTACTTATCTAAGTAATGTGTTGGGCAACTTCCATATAGTTTGCTGTTAATAAATGTGTGCTGTCTTCCCTCATTCATGTTATTAGATTCTGGCTTTTTATACAATGTCTTGACATTACAAACCACCAGCTCATGCCTTTTAGCATCCTAGGGTGCTGGTTAAACATTTTCCACCATTTTAGAAAGTTTCACTAGTAAGATAAAAAGTGTAACTCCTGCACCCAGACCAAACAGATGACCCTTTTTGGATGAGGAACTTCAATCATTTCTCTGAATGCTAATATTAAAATGTCTTGCAAAACCAGGGGACAATGGTTGTAAACAGTTAAACGGGTCATTTGATATCAGAAAAGAAACTGGATGTGCAAGGGAAGATCCATGGGGGTATGGTGATATGATTGCACACCCTTCTACTCTGTAGTGCAATGAATTCCTCAGAAGGCATGCTGGTGGCTCCACTGCCCCACAGCTCTGAACACCTGGGTGCCCTGCAGAATCCAGGCAGCAGGAAGTGAGCTCAGACCATGCAGGGTGGGGGAGGGAGCACAGAGATGGGGTCAAGGTACAGCTAGAGCCCCCAGGCCAACGGGGGACATCCTAAGGGGTGGGGTGGGGCAGGAAGCAGGTGCAGGAAGCAAGAACCCAATGGTTTCTGCTCCCTGTGCAGCTGCTCCTCTCAGCCTCTGGCTAGAGTGGGACAGGGATGGCTCCAAGGCTCCCTGCACTCCTAGGTGAGCCAGGGACATCAGTGGTGGTGGTGGTGGTAGGAAGGTGCTGCCCCTTCCTGTGCCTACATCCTGCCCAGTTCCCCAGATGTCCCTACCAGCCCAGGGCCTCCAGCTGCAACTCTTCCCATCCTTGCCATCCCTGTCCCCATCCTCCACCATAGTCTGAGCTCACTTCCTGCTGCCCAGGTTTCATGAGGTACCCAGATGTCCAGAGCTGTGTGGAAGTGGAGACACCAGCATGTCTTCTAACTCCACCCAAACAGTTCAGGCCATGATGGCCATAGTGTAGATCAAGGGGAAGGGGGTGGGGGTGGGGAGCTGGGAGGGGGTTGCAGGCACCTCTCTGGTTCCAGCTACATTGGCCCTACCTCTTTTCAAAATCCTAGATCCATCTATGAAGGTAGTAACAATTTAGTAATTGAGGAGCTCCTTTTTGCTCCTCTGAAGCCTACCAGCTATGCCTGCTCTTTGGTTCCCTTTCATGGGAGAGGGATATCTCATTAAGAACCTTGCATTCTCCTATGATTATGGGTTAACCTAACATGGGCCATAAGAACTGGGGGAGGCCTTATTCCCTACCCAGTACACACCTATGGTAGGGTCAGGTCATTACCTATCTGTCAATGATAATTTAACATAAAATACTGCAATAAACCAAGGGTGGCCAACCTACAGCATAAGTGCAACAAGTGGCATGGGCAGCCTGTGTGTGTGGCATATGGCAGACTGCACAGAGGCAGACAGGACAGGAAGCAGAAAAAAGAATAGCGTATTGGGCAGGGGAAACAGATGACAGTGGCACTTGGGAGGCATGGGTTTAATTTGTGGCAAACCTGCCCAAAAGGTTGACCCCACTAGAACAAGTAGTCTGTCACCTCCCTGCCCCCCCACCCTGAATTTGGCCTTGCTCACAAGGCTGTGTACAAATCAGGGCCATGACAAACTCCCAAGGCTGACATTAGAGGTTATCTATAATCAAACATGATTTAAACATTGCCACCGCCAGTTAGTTTGTGGAGAAACAAGGGTGAAATTTTCCTATCAGTAAATTCCATTAAGGAATTATATATCTATAATACGACTCAAAATTTTTAGACCTGTTTTTTTTTATTTTGTCACTCTTCTCCCTCCTTTCCCCATGGTTATGGAATATGCTCAGCAGTGAGCTTAATAACGTTTGATAATAGAAATGGGTTCTCCATTCCCATGCTAGAAACCTTCACCATGAAAGTAAGAGACCTAGGAATTAACCTAAGAAACAGTGAATTGTGCAAATATTGAAGCATATCAGGTGACAAAAAAACCCAACAAAAAAGCAAAAAAAACCCCAAAACCCTGGATGGGCAAGAAATATTTAGGACAATATCGTCCCTTCCCATACGAAGAAATGACACAGGGAGCTGAAGGGATAAACACTCTGTAATGGCTGTCTGCTGTCACAGGATTTTCCTTATATCTTTCTACTGGGAAAGAAGGGAAGAAGGGCAGCTTCTAACTCCACAGCGGAAAAAGAGGGTTCTGGCCCCACATCCCATAAGCTTTTGTGGACCTTGAGAGGTGCACTGGACATCAGGGCAATTTTCCAGGCCTGGCTTGTGTCTCCAGGACTTTCTGCAACACCCTCTCACTATTTCCCAGCCAGGAACAGAAGTGGCAGGACTACTACCACTGGCTGGTGTTGCTGTAAATCACAACACATTAAGTGGATCTCTACAACAGAGAGGGCAGTGGAAGAGGCAATAGCACTTCAACTTTTCCAGCATCTCCTACCAGCTGGACTGGGCTAGACAGGTGTTTTATAACAAAACCTTCTCTTCTATCTCCACCCTGCCCCTAGGCACAGACCCTGCTCTTTGGCACTGCTCTTGATGGAGTCTAAATTCAATGGGAACAGTGCTGTGTCTGCCAACATTCCCACCGGCATGTGAAGCAACAGGTCATGCACCCAGATCCCCTCAAATTGATCACCGTCTTATGCATCCTTCTGTATCCTGTGTAGCACATGGTTGGAAACTATGAATACAAGGTCAAAAGGGGTGTTCAAGACAGGGAATGCACCCATAAGCCTCCAGTCCTACTCTTGTTTGTGACTGCTAGGTTACTTTTGCTTACCAACTGAAGTGAGGCCAAAGCACACAGAATGAAGGGAAGCATTTTATTTGGCTAGTGAGAACAAACTGAAGCCCATGAAAAATGCTAGTATATTCCTATGCTCCCTTGATTATTGGAATGCTTGAGGGTATGTCTACACTGCAACAGATGTACCTGAGCTAGCAATAAATGAAACCGCTTGAATACTAATAGCAACACAGTGCCAGCAACAGAACTCAGTACAAGCTATTTACCCAGCTCCATGGACTTAGTTTCATGCTGCTAAGACTATACAGCTAGCAGTACTCAAGGTAAATAGTTTAAGGTGAGATGACATAGGCATAGCATAAGTGTACCTGAAGTAAAAGGGTGGACTTTGCCTCTTTTTTTTTAATGATGTTTAGACAGCCTTTTCAAACTGTGGTGCTTCAAGCCAGGCTCATCAGTACATACTCAGGCACCTCAATAACAACAGCATGACTTTTATAGTTCTTCTCTTTACCTTCAACTGATTTCAATTGAAGCTGTATTTGCTCAGAACCTCAGAAAAAAAGCTCTTGGGATTTAACTAACTATTCTGCCTGCAAATACCTGTTCTACATTTGTGTCTGCTTGTTTTGTGAACCCAATGCAGGTGCACATTTAAAAAGTTACTCTGAAAGATTTCCCGAGATACTGCAAAGCCTATGGAAATCAGTGATATTTACTAAAACAGCTCAAAGGTTCTATAGAATGATAACATTTGTTATGACAGTTCAAATGATTGCTTGTATGAGAAGCTATTCAGAGTACCAGAATAATTTAAAAGTATACCCCATTTTCATTTTGTTTTTAATGTTTTTCAAAACCATATTAAAAGTAGCAAAGCCCCCAAATATTCAAATGATAACAGTTTAGTAAGGAGGTAAACAATGACTTGCTGGCAACTCTGATTTTTATCTTAAACTGATGAAAAAAATCTAAATACCTCTAAAATGTTGAATTCATGAAAACTCCTAACTTTACTATGGAAGTCAATTGAGCATAGCCAAATCCTAATGAACAGACATTTATAAAGGGAATAATTTAAATGTGAATGAGGCTTTAGAGTACTGTCCTCAGATTATGGCAGGAGTCAACAATGTTTTTGGGCAAAGTGCCAAAAACCCCTGTAACCTTGTTTAGTAAGATGCGGGAGTACCAGGGGCAGACAGTGGGGGAGCCACAAGGAACCTGATCCTTGTTGTGTCAATGCAGCCCCAGCCCCTTCCTTGCCATCTGCCTCGAGGTGCATGTGCCAAGCAAAATGCCTTTGTGTGCCATACTCTGGCACCTGTGCTGGAGGCTGCTTACCCCGGGATTATGGTATAGACCAGTGATTCTCAACCACGGTACTGTGGCACAATATTAGCGCTGATAGGTTTGCAAATATTATTTACAAGATAAACACAGAGATTTCAAACAGGAATCCATCATGTCAAAAACGTTCTGACCTGTTGTGGTCTTTCTGAGTTCTCTGTAACAGAAAAATCACTCTATTATTTTTCTGTAGTTAAAAATAATGAAAACTAACACCTAGCATTTTCCAAGGGGTGTCTTGAGTCTAATGAGGAATGTCTTGAGTCTAACAAGGCTGAGAACCACTAGTACAGACCCTCCTCTTCCCCATTAAAAAATGATTTGGGTGTCATACTCTCAATAGCATAAGCAGATTGTTGAACCGATCCACTTCTTGTCCAAGCACAGTTGTTAAAGAGTCCACACGGCCTTGGTCATCTTTGATGAAAAGGCTCTCTGAAGCAGCTTCCATGTCCAGCTTTCCTGCAATACAAGCACTCTCTACTCAGAAAAATGTGTTAATAGTTTATTATAGGTGTTTTTCAGGACTGCATTACCATATATGAAGGAAGACAAAGACAATGGTATCTATTGGCAAGAAAACTGCCAGTCTCATTCCCAGGACACATGGTTTCCAAATTAGTCTTCAGTGGGGAGTATGTCAGACTGGAAATTGTATGCAGTTGACATACTGCATATACTCAATCCCACCCCAGTGTTATGGCCAGCTGCTGAGCTCCAGTGTTTCTTGCATCAGCCTCAGGTCTTAAGTAGTCCCTGTGAGTTCACCTTCTCATGTCTGATAGATTACTTCACAATGCACCCACTAGTTTCCCTTTCTCAACTTCTTCCAGGTAAAGCTAATTGTGGAGTTTGCATATAGCTGGGACTTGTGCACCATAGCTCCTCCAGACTTTCACAGGACAAGGAGACAGCAGTATCATGCCAATGCATTCATACCCACAGGAAAACTCCCAGTTTCAGCTGGATATCAGTGGAGCTATGCCAATTTACCAGTAAAATTTTATTTTCTATATGGTGTTGTTGTTGAATCTGTAGCACTACAAGAATGAGAATAGATCACCAAATTTAGGAACTACAAATAACATTTTTCCCTCACATAAATTGTGAATGTTGTTGAAAAAGCTTTCCCAAATTCACAATTTAAAATGGAGGCTTTGCACTTTGCTCAAAATAGAAATAATTAAACTGTTTGACATTAAAAAGTTGCCTGAGAGAGCAAAGATATTCATGCACATTTGTTTCAAAACAGGAACAAATTCAATGCCTTCAGAATGATGAGGCACCAAAGAATTGCACTGATGTAGGCCAGCTGGGGCAGGAGTTTCGGAAAAAAACATAATGTGCAAATAATTGTACCTGGCATGTTTGCATATTAACTGCACCAAGATGTATGTCTGAAAAAACTGCTATATTTTTAAAGTAACTTGACAGTTATGACTGTTCAGAAAATCTTGACAAATTGGCATGACAAGATATCATAGCAATAAGATAAATCCATTGTTCCATGAAAGGAATCTTAATTGTTTTCTGGTGCACAGTTTGAATAATACATTCCCTTGGCTTTTAGCTATGTATCTTTACAGAGGTATATTTTAGTGCTCTATTTACATAAAATACTTAAGTCTCATCTCATAGTTTATGCTCTAATGTTGTAATCAGAATTTCACAATTGGACCCTTGCATCTGTCAGAAGTCCCAATGAAGTCAGTGTGGCTCTTTAATAAGCATAAGGGTCTGCCAGAATGCACCTGATTATTTAGACTGGGAGACTGTGTAAAGGTATCCCCCAGCGTGGATCTGAGTGCAGAAAGGTGGTCTGTAACTGCATATTTTAAAACTTCTAGTCTGAAGGTGCAGAGACAACCATTTGTTCTCACTTGACCAATTAGCTATAACTAAGCTTCTCCTTCCTCCTGCACAAATGTTTGGGGAAAATATTTAAGAATGGCTGCCTGGAAGATGGAAGAGGAAGCAGGTCTTTGGGAAGGCAAGGTTGCTCTGCCAGGCCATATAGCCCTGAGCAAAATACTCAGCTAAGGGTATTTTTTTTATATTCTTCCAAGCCCACACCCTCACACTCAGAAATAAACCTTAAGAGGCTTTTCTGACTAAGGAACAGAGAAATGATTAAGTATCTATTTAATCTTAAACACCTGCTTAAATCTCAAAGAGTGCAACAGTGTTTCTATGTGTGCTTAAGTGCACATAGGTACAAATGCTTTGCTGAATGGTAGTTTCCTCTTTGGTGGTGGTTTCCCTGCTATGCCTCTATGTTGCATACAACTGGTAAGGATGTGATACAAGCATTCGCAAACTGGATCAGGCTCCTGCCCTATTGTTTCTGCAGAAATCGCATCTCTAACAGATGCTTCAGAATCTTTGAAGGAAAATGTAAAACCCCATATTTGTATAAGAATAGAGAGAGCTCTGATGACAGTGCCCTAGCAACCCCAAGCAGCTATTAGCCATTTGGAAGTATAAGGTTGCAAATGTACAATTTAGCTAGTGTAAGTATGATTGTTTTGATTATCCATATACATTTTCTGTGTTCTGTTTTATGCTGCTTCAATATTTTCTGGGAAGGCCTTCACAGGTAAAACCAACATTTGTTTCTTTGAAAACCTCCTTTTTAAGCAGCAAGTTCCTTAGGTTAAATTTGAATTATGCTGACTTTTACTTTTACAGTTTAAAATAGAGTGTATGTAGTTTTATTTTAACAAGTTCTGCAAACACATATTTTCATGTGATGCTTATTGTTTTAATGTGGAAATACACATTGAATTCACACCTGATAGCACCACATAACAGTAACAGCAGTTTACCTATAAAAGGCATTATACAGTTATTCCTCAAAAACAGAACCCAATCAAACATTTTAAAATGCTATAGCATATATGCAGCATCTCTAGGAAAAACACATTAGCAATGTTAACTTACGTGACAGCTTTGTCAGAATGGTGCTGGCAAGCTCTTGAACAATTTCATCATTGCTTTTTCCTGACCCTTGTGTAGTTGATCTTGGCTGAACCTCAAGTATTGTTGTAATCAAAGTGTTAGTCTCTTTACGCTGTAATAAACAGAGGAGAAAAAAAAGCAGCATTCCTTTAACAAAGTTGCCATTGTAAGGATTATTTCAATGTTTTCATATCAATCTCTCTTTTTTTAAAAGCCCTTTCAAGTCTGAATGATTTACTTCCAATAAACATTTTGGATTTTGTTCATCATGTGATTACTTTTTCATCTGCTTGCAAATTTAATTTGTGTCAATAGGCATTTATTTTCTACTGTTACTCTCTTTAGCTACTCTTACCATGAGAAAAAAAGCTCACTGACCACATACTTTTGCATGTAATAAAGAATGCTAAGCTAGAAAAAACTTCAAGTTTTCCCAACCTTTACTCCAAAAGTGTATCTGTTCCTCTGCACTGAATTCTGTACCTTGGATGCCACTTTAATTTAATACAGTCATTTAAAATTGGTTAAAGTATTTCTGTTAACATCTTTCTTCACTGATCTTTACAAGGATAACATTTTTTTTTTTTATAGATTCCTACAGAAAGAAGTGTGAAATGAGCATGTGCTTCTCGGTATGTCTTTAACTCAGTCACAAAACTCCCTACAGTATGTTAATGACTGAAGCTATAAAGAGTAGAGTTAAAATTGTAATGTTTTTAGTTAATTATCTTAGCATGGGAAGTTATGAAATCTCTGCTTCAATCCCCTAGGAATAAAGTTTATTAAATATTGGGTAGTTTATCTTCTGGCTTTTTCTAGGTGGTGTGACAATCTTCTGTTTTTATGGTGCTTTGCCTTAAGCTTATTGCTTCATCAGTATAGATTTTTACAATTAATATTACACTACAGGCACAAAGTAGAATTTTTTTTTTCTAAATCAGCATTTGTGCCTGACAAAAGATATTTCTTTTAAATCTGTACCCAATTTAAGACCTGCTTCTGCACGGATGAATATAATACAAACTTTTTGGAGACTATACTATGTTCTTGATGTTAGTTCATTTAGAATTTAAATGAACAGAATTAGAACTCATTTCAGGGGATGACTAAGTATATTGTGAGGGTGAGAGTATGTCTGATGCACAGCTGAGATTTCCAAAACAGTCCAGAGGATGACTGTGGTCTACCATGCAAAGTTCTGGCAAAAAACCCCAACCCTCTGACTGATACTGCTGTGCTGGCAAAAGATCCTGTCCCCATGCTGCTCTGCTAAAGAAATGGGTTCCTGCCCCCAGGCAAAACATATCCACTGGTAGAGCTGTGCCAGGCAAGCCGTGGCAGCAGCAGTACCTTACAATGCACACAGTGGGCATGTCCAAACAAGTATGGACATGTGGTATGTGGCACCACAAACACATCTGCAACGCCACATACTGTACAGTCAGGTGCTCACCATGCTGTAAGGGCATACTACCCATGCGTGTGCTGCTCCATTTTTTTTCTGCAGGTTTTTTTGACCCCTGTATATCTGGGCAGTGCGCACCGCTGAAAAGCGGAGCCCGGCTGCCCAGAGCTGTGCAAATAGTGGTAGGATCACCACTGCTGCAGCTCTGGGAGGCCACCAGGTAAGGCTGCTGGGGCCAGCACAGTGCTGGCCCCAGTCTCCCATACCACCTCCAGGGTAACATGCCATGCGCTAAAGCATGTGTGGCAGGGGCGTTCACCGGGGACAAGCAGCTGCGGTGCAAGGTGCACTGCTGCTACTTGACTCCAGGGACCCAAATGTCCACACTTGCCTGGATGTGGCCAATGAATACATCTGCTACATTAATGGAAGATCATTGTTATCACTACAGTATCAGCAGTACTTAGCAATACTCAAGATTTGTGCCTTCTTGTGTTTGGTGTTGTACATGTATTGAAACAATCAGAGAGTTTTCAAATTAAACAGACTATGGGTTGATGAGAGAAAGTGTCTCCTGAAGCCTAGAACAGCACCTTAGCCACAAAACCATTTTTTCTATGTCTAGAGCCCATTGTCTGCTTTGAATATTTCACATTACTGGTCTTTAGCTATCACGAGTGTTTGTATATGTGTTACAATACTCTGTTTAGATCACTGTGAGGGTGGTACCTGACAAAGATTTTGGAAGAACGGATGGCTCCTTCCCAAGAAAATGCACAGGACTTAACAAATATGAATGTATATGTTCTGACGGCGTTGCCAGGATCACTTTAAACCACTTCTTATTTTAGCCACAAATTATAAAGTCTGTTAGCTCATGTAAAATGGCTGACTTACGTAAAATAAAGACAGCATAGTGTATATAAGAATGTAGTTCATTACAAGGCAGCTGGATAGGAAATTAGTTTTAAAAATTTGGAGGTCTTTACCAAATTTTACATATAGCAGAAAGGCAATGTAATGAGTAATGGGTGGGCAGCCTTGTAATTCCAATTTGTTATTTCTGCTTAACAAACTATAATTGTTAAATCAAATTTTCCCTTTAAGCTACAAAGTATAATACATTTAGACATAATTCATTTAGAATGTGTATTTACAAATAGTCAACAAACCTGGAAAACTAAATTAGCATTTTCATGCATTCCAAATATTTCTGGGTCATCAATCAAAGGAAGATTTTCAATGTATTCTTTAAAATCTTGCAAGCTATCAGCAACAGGTGCAAAATATACACCTGTTAAACAAATGGACAGATGAGACTTCATATTAAAATATTTCCTGAGAAGTAAATGGAAACCACGTTATGGAAAGGGTAAAAAATAGATATAATATATTATTAATAGGCATTAGTTAAGCATTCCCCCCCAAAAAAAGGAATCTACCACAAAGACAACAAAACATAAATATGAAGATGTTTTACAATACAGTTGGAAGGTAACTTTATTTCATAAGGAGTGACATGCACTCATCAGATTCTGACAGCTTACAATGACTGTAAGCAAAATTTGTAAAACTTATGGTCAAAAGTCTCAGATATACATATTTTGCAATAATTTCTTTCCATTTCAGAGGAACCAGAAAACTGAGGCAAACTCCCTCCCCTCCTCCCCCCTTTTTATGTTTTGGAAAAGAGAAAAAATTAGATAGTTCTTTTCTGGGGAAACAATTTAAAAACAAAAGCACAATATGAGATGTTGCCTGTAACATCACTTAGAACTAAACTTTATAATAAAAACAGCAAACAGCTTTCAAAAGCCTAACCACTGAGCTAAAAACCTGGTAAGTGGAAGCTCAGAGAGAAGACCGTAAGTGTACTAAGCCCCAGGTTAATTCCCAGTGGGCTTCCCAACTCTGCAGTGGGTTACTGTATTGCTTGGGAGGCTTCTGGCTCCTCGGTATTTTACACAAATAGGATTAAATTGACTCGTACTTAACACTTGTTGACATAACTATCAGGCCTGCAATGACAAAGAGCTGCAGTGGCTGAGATGTCAAGCAGCAGAATGAAATATATGCAGTATGACACAAGCCTATGGTCCACGTCCAGTAAACTGAAACTAAATTCTCTTTTTCAGGTCCCTTGTTTTTCCAGGGAAATATAACAACAAAATATAGTCACAAACACAAATCCAGGCACATAACAGCTTTTGAAGCTGAATCCAGCAATTAAAGTACTAGTCCAGAACTTGGGAGACCTAGGTCCAATCCACCGCTCCAAGACAGAGTTTGGCAGGACCTTGAACAATTTCCTTAGCCACTCAGAGATCATTGAAATTACATTGCCAAGATTGGAGGGGTATTTTGAGGATACAGGTGGGGAGATGCTCAAATGCTACAGTAAGGGGTACCATTTAAATACTGAAGATAGACTGATAGATATACAATATGCTGGCAGCTTTTGCCTAAAAGGACTCCATGATCTTAGTATGTGTCAGCATTCTCAGTTCACATATTGAAGGCAGAAAATAATGGCAATATGCCATACTCACAGGCCACCAGCGGAGAGTGGGATACCCTCAGAAACCTGTTGAATATGCTGCTAGTCTTCTTTTCAATACTGAATACTCAAATTGATACTCAAATTCTCCAAGTTCTCTCTGAAGTTGGACAATTATAATTTAGCATTGTCAGCAGGATTCAAGGACTCGTTGGGAACTCAACAATCCTTCAGTAATACTTATATTTTCCTGGTTGTTCTAAACCTTTAACCCACATGGATCAGTTAAGTACCTGAAGGAATAGTTGCTATATATGCAGTAATCTTTTTAGAATACATAAAGACTTTACATCTCAAGTCCTACAACTAGACCATTTCTGGTCAGAACTTTAAAACACTATTCTATTCACAAAAGATGCTCTGTAAAAATAGCAGTGGAGTTCCATATCCTCAGTGGTTTCCAGAACAGATATTCTCAGTTCACAATTAAAAAGATGTGATTTTTTTTCTAAATGGCCATTCTTTCAAACTCAGCTTGGAATACAGGATCAAGATGGAGTTCAAAGACCACAACCTATATGAAAGACTCTGCCACCCAGATTCTGCAACTGCACAAGCCTATTGTCTTTAGAGTATGACCTTGATGATACCTGCAAAGCGTTGTTGCCTTTAGCAAGCTTGCACGGATGTAGCTTATTGGAACCTAGTAATCAATTCTGCTGATGTACAGCAAAGAATAGGTAATATCTCTTTCTTAAGGGAGGTGGTGTCATCCAGAGTATGGCACTAGAGCAAATGCCAGAAAACATGGGATCTAGATCTCTAGTAGGAGTTACACTTAAGACATGATTAGTCTGTAAACTGCACCTTAAATAGTAACCCGGCCACAAATTCAGACAAGTAATGGCACCACAGAAACTGAGACTAACCACAAAAATATTACACAAAAAATGTACAATATTTTTCTGGTCGTTTCTATTGAACCTTAGGGTTAGGTTTACATTCACTGAGTACATCCACATGTGCGCTTTACTGTAGTAGACTAATTTGCTATGCAGTAAAGTGTCACTGTCTACATGTGTGTGGCAATTAGGCCAGTGTAGACTAATTTACTACACTGTCGGACAGTACCTTCAGACACAAGTACTATCCAATAGTGGAGTAAATTACTGTGCTTAAATGTATGTGGACATGGTGATGCAGGTGCAAATTGCAGTGAAATAGGATGCGGAACAGGGTGGGCCACCTGGGCCATGGCCTGACCAACTTTTAGGAAGTTAATTTATATAACCCACAAAGGCACAATTGTCATTCCGGTTAACACTGTATAGCTATTTTTAACTGCATAGCTAGCTAAATTAATGTGCTAAAAGTTGGTTGTGCCATGGCCTGGATGCCCACTCTGTTCTATGGCCTATGCCCAGCCAGCTGAGCCGGCAGGGGGCCAGACTCTCACCTGCTGCTGCGCCACATGATTCGGTAGCTTCAGGAGCTGAATGGCATGGGCAGCTCCTTCATCACCTGACACTGCCACCTGGACCCTAGGCCTGACTCCCCAAAACCCCTGCCAGCCTGAGCCTGCCCCCAGGTAATGTGTTCCACCACTGTGGGCACCTGCTGCCTGACGCCGGCAACCAGATCCTGTAGCTGGCCCACTGAGGCCCCTACCAGCCCAAGCCTGCCCCTGGGCATAGTGCCCCACCCCACTATGGGGTAGTAGGCCCCAGCCAGCTACATGAGACTTGAACCCATATCTCCTATTTCCAAACAAAGTTTATTTTTGTATAAACAAATGTACTCATAATAAAACATAAAAAACCATAACACCGTTTCAAATCATACATCAAATTATATAACAGCAACTCAAACCACATCGTCTTACATCAGCCTTACACAACTGCCGACATATCTTCCGCCTCTGTACACTGCAGAATATCTACATCCCATTTACAAATGCAAAATATTACAATGCCATTCAACAGCTCATAATATCCCCCCTTCCCATATAACTTGAAACCATTACAACATGGTACTACTTATCGTCAAGACTTATGCTCCCCTCCCCAACATGTATCCGAAAAGAAGCAACCCCATATTTAAGATAGAAAAGAAAAACACACACACAAAAGATACCTTATTTTCTTTTACCTGACTTTACATCCGTTAGCATAACAAATACAGACACAGCTCATGTTTAACTTCCATTCCACTAAACAAAAAATGTGCCTCCAAGCAAAGTGCTCTAGCCACCTTGTCATAGACTAGCACTGTCTAGAGAATTCCTCTACCCCTTGTACTTAATATTCACGGGCTAAAACAAACAAACACCTACTGGGAAAGTTTCTGTCAGATTGGAAGCAAAGGCCCATGAAGTCCAGGGTCCTTACTCTGCTGCTCTCCTTCCTTCCGTCAGGATCTTGAACTCAGTTGTCTCATGGTCACTGGTGCCTAAATTGCCATCCACTTCTACATCCCCCACCAATTCTTCCTTATTTGTGAGCAACAGGTTCAGAAGAGTTGGCCCCTAGTTGGTCTCCCCAACCCCTGCACCAGGAAGTTGTCTCCAATGCTCTCCAAACACTTCCTGGATTTCCTGAGTACAGCTGTATTGCCCTCCCAGCACATGTCAGGGTGACTGAAGTCCCCCGTGAGGCCTGTGATCTGGAAACTTCCGCTGGTTGTCTGAAGAAAACCTCATCTACCTCATCCTCCTGATCTGGTGGTCTATAACACACACCCACCACAACACCCTTGTTTCTCTCCTCTTTGACCTTAATTCAGAGACTTTCAACAGGTCTATCTCCAGTTTCATACTGAGGCTCTGAGCAATCATACAGCTCTTTTACATACAGTGCAACTCCTCCTCTTCTTCTCCCTTTCCTGTTCTTCCTGAACAGCTTGTACCCATCCATGACAGTGCTCCAGTCATGCGAGTTCCTACCAAGCCTCTGTTATTCCAATCACGTCATAGTTCCTTGACTGTGCGAGGACTTCCAATTCTTCCTGCTTGTTTCCCAGACTCCATGCATTTGTGTGCAGACACCTGAGGTGACTAGCCAATTGCCCTACTTTCTCAGGAAGAATGAGGAGGCCTCCCCTGCTGCTCCTTTCTGCTTCTGCTTCCTCCAGATTCCCCACTTACCTCAGGGCTTTGCTCTTCATCCCCAGGAGAACCTAATTTAAAGCCCTCTCACTAGATTAGCAAGCCTGTGTGCAAACAGGCTTAGAACTGGGCCTCCCCTTTTCAGAGCTAATACCTTAACTGCAGCAGATAAAACATGAGGGGGGCCCTCTGTTATCTCTAACCAAGGAGATGGGTGGAACTGCGAATCACAAAGAATGTTCTGCTCTTCATCTCCTCAGCATGGGGGCACAAGGAGGGGCTACAGTGTACTTTACCAGCTAAAGGACAAAAAAGTCTCTGCTATAAGCTCACTGAGAACTTAAGGCAAATCTCCTAGTGCAAATGTGCATGTAGACAATTACTCAAATGAGAACTGAATTTGCAAGTCTTCAGAAGTGCACAATAGATCTTACAGTTCAAAGAGGGCTAAGCAACAGTAAATGACACTGGATTCATCATGGAAGTTAGCATTTTTCTGCAATATAGACAACTCTACAATTCATAAAATCATAACAATGTGAGGTAAATGGATGTAATTCCAGATACTGGACATGTATTTCTACATTCAGGTTTTTCACTGATCTAAAAAGTCCTATATAATTCCAAATGCATTTACCTGATTCTGAGTATTTGTAATCATCTTCTAACGTTTCAGGAGCAAAAAACCGCTTTAAGATTGTGTGCAGACATCTCTGGTCCCAGGTGTCTGTAACTCGCCCTCCATAAGTAATTTCACCTGTAAAATTTATAAGAGTTCATATAACAATTCACATATAAAGCAGCCTTTACTTCTTAAAACTTCACCTCTCATCTTCTCTACAGTCCATTACAGCATGGTTTTTCTATGACATTATTATGGAAATAAGAGTGTTTAACTGTCAAGATTCTTTTCTTACTGTTAAACTGACACCTAATACAAGATGACATTGCAATACATCTAAGTCAAGTAATAAAAATCAGGAAAATACTAATATTTCATCAAGTTACACAGACAATTACATGTCTAATTTAAGCATGTAACTACTTCAGATGTATATGCAAACTAGGTACTACATTGTATCTACCTAATTAACCATCTACATGCCCAGGTACTCCATTTGCTGTGTAATTAGGAACCGCACATGCAAAATAGGCACACAAGTTTGCACAAATTTTACATGTTTTGAACAAATTTTCCAATTTTATACTTGAAAATTCTGGATCCAAAGGCAATAAGATAATATGCTACCTAATATTCTCCTTTATGGGACTATCTTCTGTCCTAACTTATGATAGCTAAGGATCATCTCAAATTTATCCATTGGTGTAGAAGGTCTGGACACAACTCTCATGCTACCCAAGTATTTTAGAAGCTATGTTGAAGCACTGACTTCTTTTTGTTAGGTATATGTACTCATAGGGCATATCCAGATGGGCCCATATGTGCCTCTTGCAGCATCTCAGACCCCTTTGAGACATTCCAAGAGGCACATGAAGGAATGAGAAAATGTTCCCCGCGCTGCAAATTTGTTTTTAACACTGTAGATATATCAATAAAACTTTGCCCAACTGATTGCTGTCTCTGTCTCACGCTCTCTCTCTCTCTTTATA